TGCAAAGCAGTTCTGTTGCTACTCTGAGGCCAAGAGGAGGATTCTTCCCTCCCCCCCGCCCCCACCCCGCATTCCTTGTAGCTTCTTCCCTGTGCTTTCTGCCTGTTCTGCCAGGGAAGCAGTAACCTCCTCCAGGGAAGATCTCATTTATCATCCTCAAAGACTCTCCTAAAAAGAGGCCTTTGAAGAGAGAGCATCCAGAAGGTGTTAGTAGTAAGCGGAGTGCATTTCATTGTGGGTTATGATGCAAACAAAGTGTTTGTGAGCAAAAGAATTCTTTAAAATGGGCAAATGTCTTTTGGTGTATTCAATGGGCCTTAATCCACATGACAACCTCATGCATTCAAAAGTGGAGTCGGGCCCCAAAATTTCATGAGATTGGCTTTAAAAAGCATGAGATTTAAAAATAATAAATTCAGGGGTTATTATTTGCCTTCAAGTGTTTCAGCCGTTAGGGGTCACATTAGCAAGTTTTTTCTCTGCAATCATGAGGGCATTTTTTAAATGAAAGTTGAAAGTCTCATGTAATCACATGACTCCAGGAGTTGAGGCTTTAAGGAAAACCCCAAAATACTGGGAGACTTGCACTAAAATCATGAGAGTTGGTAACATTTCATTTCTCATGAAATTAGGGGCAAAATGACAACAGGTTTTGGATCAGGAACTTAATTAAATATATTGCTATTTAAAGATACGAACTGGTGGCTTTATGCCACCTCCATCTGGCCAAGCTGAGGGACACTTAAGTGGCTTAAATGCCAAGCACAGCTCAGCCAGAACAGAGGAGATGGCCTCCTGTTTCCTGACATAGAGGAAGGCAGAAACAGAAGAAAAATCACAGACCTATCCTAGCACTAGCGGAATTCCTTACTACAGACATAGCTGGAGCCAATAGAAGGCGTTTTTCTACTGGTATAATAACACCACCTTCCTAATGACATTAGCGATGCTGACAAAAGCACTCTTCTAGCCGCATAGTTGCATCTACACCGAGGGTTTTGCTGGCATAGTTATATCAGTTTAGGGGGGCTGTTGGTTCCCCCCCACACACACACACACATATCTGACCAACATAATTATGCTAGCAAAACTTTGTTGTGTACAGGCTACAGTCCAAACAATAAATCAAAAGCCTATTACTGCTAGCAAAGGGGACCACAGGGAAACGGATTGCCATCAGGGGAGAAGAGGGACAGTCTCGAGAACAAGAAGACTGCTCGAACGGGGGACATTATTTATCAGAGGTTTTTGGGCAGGGGTGCATGCAACATCAAGAGGGCAAAGAACTGTGAGTGAAGAAATGTGAGCGATTTTTCCACAGACTCATTGAGTAACCTAGGGTGAGTTATTTCACTTGCGTATGATTCCGTTTCCCCATGTGTAAAATGGAGCTGGTTATGCTCACCCTCCTGCAGAAAGGGCTTTGAGACGAATGGGACTAAACGTTTCAGGCTTTATAACTTATCGCTATTTTGGTTTGTATAAGGCTAAATTAGAGCACAAATTGAACAACGGAACACTCATTTCCTGCTGCAGTGTTTATTTATGCAACCAGCCTCTTAATGTGTGCTATGAATTAGACTTGGAGACATGCCAGAGTCAACACGGCAATACTGTTTGTTTATACTCCCTGCTTTAAGTATCTCGTGTTGGATTTTCCCACGCTGAGGATTTCACTGTGTCTCTTCCTTTATGGAGGTGGGTGTTATTGGTTTTTGGGAAAAGACAAAAAGAATCCATTGTTTCGTAACCTCAGCCCTGGCATAACAAGGGGACACATTCTTCTCTCAAAGAGGATTCCTTGTCCATGAGGTACAGCTCATAATAAAGGGCTGAAAACTTCCCAGAGCTCCCGTCATCCAAAGACTATGTATGCTTTATAAATCCCCTTCATAAGGTGCTGCTGTGGCCTACCAGTTCTGCAGGCGGCTGCATTGTGATGGGCTGGAGCCATAGCCTCCTGCCTGCCCCTTCTCACCCCCTTTGAGGTGCCATACATCCTCAGGGAGGTGGGGAAGGAGCAGTCCCTGTAAAGCTCCTTATGGACCCATGTAAATGCCAGGTGGAATCTGGCCTGCGGACTGTAATTCCCAAAGTAATTCCTTTTCTGAGTGTTCATGTGAATTTTTGGATAGGGGTGCTCCCAGACGCTGTTGCTCTGTAGTGTCCTCGATGTCTGTTGGATCTCCTCATGCATACTAAGGTATGTTCAGGGCTAGGTCAAAAACAAAACCCTATTACTCTTTTTTGTAAATTTTGTCTAAAAGTTACTGGTATGGTGGACGGTTATCAGATGGACAGACTTGTTCACGGCCACCCTGGGGCCAAGTTCTGAGGAGTAATGGAGAGAATGAGACAGTAGTGGGCAAGTGGAGAGCATCTGCCCCTGGATGACTCCGCATGGCCTGCGGCAAGGTGCTCTATAGGGCCACATCACCCCTGGGTTCCCTCCATTTTTGAGTATGCTCAGGCCTACAAGCTAAGGCCTATGCTGCCCTAGAAAAGATTTGCCAGTATAGCTGAACTGGCAGAGCTACACTGCCAAACAGTCCTAGTGTAGATGCACCGTATACCGGCAGAAGAGGGCTGTTGTCAGTGTAGCTTATACTGGTTCCCTGAACAAAATCAGCTATGCTGACATAAGGACTTTTTTGCCAGGATAACTGAATCTACACTAGGGCTTTTGCCAGTTTAGAAATGTTGTAAAAAATTCATTCCCCGAAGTGACTTTAGTTTCTAGTGTAGACCTGCCCTTAATCTTACATTTATTCCCAATGCCAAACAAGCTCCACTCTTATGACATATTCCCAGGAGCACAAGTAATCCCACTTTTAGGATAACTGAGGTAAGTCGGTACAAACAAACACGTCTAACTGATAGGGATCTGTACAATGAACAGCTGCCTTTTGGATTATACCTTTTGCTGGTTTATTTTATGCCAGTATGTGTCAGCTGTTAGTCAGGACGCGTTTAGAAAAGCGGGACTAAGGGCAAGCGCATCACAGTGAATGTGATTCCTGCACCAGTTTGTGGCCTTCATCTTCTCCTGTGCTGGGGCAGCTGTGTGCCACTCCAGTGGTGTGCACCTGCCCTAAAAAACTGGCTTCCCAGCAAGATCATTCTATCACTGGGGAATTGTTAAGTGGCCCATGGAAAGCCTCTTAGCAACTGGGAGCGCCGCCAGCTTTTTTGCCGCCCTAGGCAGCGGAAGGTCCCGCCCCTGACATGCCGCCCCCGACAGAGGCGGCGGAAGGTCCCGCCCCCGAAATACCGCCGCCGACTGGGTCAGCCGAAGATCCGGCCGCCGCGGCTGCCGCCCGCCAAATGTTAGCGCCATAACTAAAACTCTTTTAGAACATCTGTTGCTACTGCCTTGAAATTGCTGGGACTAAATATTATTTGTTCACTCCTTTGTATCTCTGAATTTTATTGCTACTTAATACTACTTTGGGCGGAAGTACAAAAATGATCATAGAACCTCTGAATACATTGAGTTTGGTCAGTTGAGGAGGCGCAGAGTCAGAAACAGTAGCGTAGTTGAGGGTAAATAGAATTTACCCACTTCTCTTTTGCAGAATATTGAGTTATTTTAGGTGTTTAGCCCCTTTTTTACCACTACACCACTGCTCAGAAATAATTCTAGTCATGTTCCCTCAAAAACCAGTATTAGAAAACATCTGTTACTAATTCATGATAGTCCTTTTGTTCCCATGGCTCTAGCAACGCTGGGCAAGTTTCTTGGATATGCAGACTGCAGTTTTCTAAAGTCCAAAGCTAAAATATTTCTGACTACTAACAATATGCCTGTCTGAAAACAAGTGCTCCACTGAACCACATCAGAACCCTGATGCCAGAATGCATCCTCTACTTACTGACTCATGGAGCTCATCTACACTCAACAGGTTTGCCCATGAGTTCAGTAGGAGAAATGATGCTATAAAGCAGTGGTTCTCAACCAGGGGTACACATACCCCTGGGGGTATGCAGAGGTCTTCCAGGGGATACATCAACTCATCTAGATATTTGCCTAGTTTTACAACAGGCCACATAAAAAGCACTAGTGACATCAGTCCAAACTAAAATTTCATACAGATACTCACTTGTTTATTCTGCTCTGTATGCGATACTGAACTGTAAGCACAATATTTATATTCCAAGTGATTTTATAATTATGTAGTAAAATGAGAAAATAAGCAATGTGTCAGTAACAGTGTGGCTGTGACCCTTGGATTTTTATGTTTGATTTTGTAAGCAAGTAGTTTTTAAGTGAGGTGAAACTCGTGGAATGCAGGACAAATCAGACTCCTGAAAGAGGAACAGTAGTCTTGAAAGGTTGAGAGCCACTGCTATAAAGAGCAGCCATCCCCACAGCCCCAACATGAATTCATCCCTTTCAGAACTGTGGAGACCAAACCCCATGGAGCACCCAGAGTGTGCATGGCATTGAACCAACAGAGTCCCCTATGTGCCTCAGACCAGGTCCAGTGTGTTCCACTTCCCTCTGCTCATTGAGCTTGCATTTGGCCATCATTGTGAGAAATGCCAACTTAACCCTAACTGGGTTACTTCCACCTGCTGCAAATATGCAGTTGAGCTCTACCTGAGTTTGGAAACTGGGTAGAGATACATAAGAATGGTCATACAGCATCAGACCAAAGGTCCATCTAGCCCAGTATCCTGTCTTCCAACAGTGGCCAATGCCAGGTGCTCCAGAGGGAATGAACAGAACAGGTAATCATCAAGTGATCCATCCCCTGTCACCCATTCCCATCCTGGCTAATAGCCATTGATGGACCGATCCTCCAGGAATTTATCTAGTTCTTTTTTTAAATCTTGATATTTTTATACCCTGACCTTTTCTGATGACAAAGATCGAGCCAAGTGCCAACAACTAAGAAACAGAACACATCTATTTTTTAAGCATATAGTTTAATGTAAAAATGATTGAATTCCAACATTCACAGGAATAAGAAAATTGCAACATGAGCCTCAACATTTTTCCATTCATTGAACAAAATAAATACAATAATTAACATAACAAAATCCTAACACACACAACAGCAGGAATGTGAAATATTCTATCTTCATAAGGAATTAGCATATAAGAAAAAATCCAGATGAATAAAAATCACTTAAATAAATAGGTTTTTTTTCCTACTCAAATATTAACTCTTTAAATAGAGAGCGAGATTTAAAGACATTGCTGTGCTATAGCACAATAAATAATGCTCCCCAAATGACAGCACTTTGGCTGCTTCATTTTGGAAAGCCACAAAATCCCAGTCAGTAGCTAGCCTCAGGCTGGCTATGACTCATGGTGCTGTTGATGCAACATACCAGTGCAGGGGAGGGGTAACTGTTGCCAGTTTACTGCTCTCACAGGGAAAGAGCAAGGCTTAGAATAAATACAGCTGTGCTGCAAGTGCATTGCACTCATAAAACCCTGTTCAGCTTAAGTGGTTTCCAAAGGGGCTTCATTTCCCTCAGCAAATCACTTTTCCCTATCCAGTGTTTTCACCTTCAGAAAGTGGCTTATCCCATGGACAACCAAAGATTAAATATCTTTCTTAAAATGATGCGCCTCAATAAATAAATACATAAATAGAAAATAGATACTGCTAGCTAGAGTCTGCCTGAAAACATGTTAACAGAAGGAGGTGGGCTGCTTGCAGATGGACTGGCATTTTCACAGAGATGTTTCCTTCAAGGGGAAACGTCAGTGATTTTTCTTCTTTGGCTTCTCTCAGCGTTTTGCCTCACCATTGGCTTGAGCTCTGTAAAGAGGGGGAGAAAAGGAATTGTTTAGAAACCTGTTCATGGAACAATTACCACTAGTTAGCACATGAGAACTCTTAGCCTGCTCTCAACCATATCAGTGAAACTTCATTAACTTTGACATAGTTACTCTTGGTTCACACCAAAGGAAAATCAGGTGGTGCGGGGGGGTGGGGGGGAGGACACCCTGGTTTTTCAGAAGCACTGAGCACCTGTGAGTCCAATTGTCTCCAGAAAGAGTTGCAGCTGCCCAGTATATGTGGCCATTATCAATGACTTCCCCAAGCTCACACAGGAAGTCTGGGGCACAGCAGGGAACAGGAAGAACCTAGTTCCATAATCTAACCACTAGGCCACCTTTAAGGTAGGATATGGTGATTATTTACTAGATTGAGAGAAACAAGTTTTGGGAAAAATTACTATGCCCTGATAAGAGGTAACTCCTACACAGTTTGTGCTAAGGAACCACCTAGTTATTCTTTTAAAATAATTTTTCATGAAATGGTTCTGAGAATGAATGACTCACTTGTCCAAAATTGCTTTAATGATGATCTTCACCCATTGAGCAGTGGGATCCAAACACACTTCTCTGCCGTCCTTAAGAGTAGCGCTGCAAAGAAGGAAAACAAAGGTCAGGCATCTATCGACTTGGTGGACTCTCATCAGGGTATGTTTCAACCTTTTAAAATACAGGCACGGCTGGTGTCAATTGACATAGTTCCATTGACTTCACTAGAGAGCTACACCAATTTCCACTAGCTGAGGATCTGGCCCTACATCATTTGTTTCCTTTAAAATGTTCCAGGTGTGACCAAAAAAAAAAAAAAAAAAAATCTCCCTCCCTCTATATATATGCATTCAAGTTTTTTTTAAACCTGGTATCTCTCTCTCTCTGTACATGTGTGTATATATATAAAATGTCTTTGTCTGCACTGGTATTGCTTTTTACATAAAGGGCTGAATCCTGCATTCCTCTGTCAGGGAAACCACTTATGTACTCAGTGGAGAATTTTCAGTGGGAGTTTTGCCTGCAGAAGGACTGGAGGAATTGGGTTGAAAGTTTGTATTGGGTATTAATAATTTTTCCTGCCCTTCCAATGCAGGTTCTAGCACTCTATAGATAATGCCCATTATTCCCCATGGGGATTTGTATTTCCACCCCAGAGATGCTGGATGCTATGAAAAGCAAAGTGCAATACCGAAAAGAACGTCTTTAGAAAGAATAAAAATCACTCTTAGGGAGTCTCCCTGGGTGGTGTGGGCCTGCTAGTGCTCCCCACCCCTTTGAAAACTCCTGGACCAGCACAATGCAAAGCCGTCTCCTCCTAGTTTAGCAGCAGGTAGAATTTTGCAAAACTACTTACATGATTTCAGTGTTCTGGCAGTGAGGTCCGCTCGGGGTCAGCTTAACGTCCCGAATGTTCCTGGGACGGATGAAGTTGGAATGCAAGGTGATGCACTGGCATCGGAGCTCATTCCCCATCCTTGCCA